AATGTCAAGTGCTGTCACTCTCACCTCACCTCCTAGAGTTCAGTTCTTTTTCTGTTTTGCATGAATATTGTACTGGTGTCAGGAGTCAAGTGACCTGGTAGAATCCAAATTGGGCATCAGCAGGTTATTCCTTTGCAAGTACCACTTGATAGCGGTGTTGATGACGTATTCCCACCACGGGGAGGTGATGGCCTAGTTATATTATCGGTGGACTGTTAATCCAGAGAATGTTCTGGGGACCCGGGTTCAAATCCCACCATGGCAGATGGTGGAATTTGGATTCAATAAATACCTGGAATTTAGAGCCTAATGATGCCCATGAATCCATTGTCAATTGTTGGAAAAACCCATCTAGTTCACTAATGCCCTTTAGGGAAGGAAACTGCCATCCTTACCTGGTCAGGCCTACATTTGACTCCAGACCCACAACAAATGTGTTTGACTCTTAACTGCCCTCTGGGCAATAGATGCTGCCTAGCTGGTGACGCCCTCATCCCATGAATGAATAAAGAAAAAAAATTCTATTACTTAATTAATGATTAAGAGTAGACTGATGGGGCAGGAATTGGCAAAGTTGGATTTGTTCTGCTTTTTACGCACAGACATACTTATGTAATGTTCCCTATTAGAATAATAGAACATATACAACATAGAACAGAACAGCACAGTACAGGCCCTTCGGCCCACGATGTTGTGCCGAACTTTTATCCTAAACCTAAGGTCTATCTAACCTCCACCCCTACCTTATACTATCATCCATATGCCTATCTAATAGCAGCTTAAATGCCCCTAATGAGGCTGACTCCACTACCCTCTCCGGCAATGCATTCCACGCCCCTACCACTCTGAGTAAAGAACCTACCTCTGACGTCTCCCCTGTATCTACCTCCACTCACTTTAAAACTATGCCCCCTCATAATAGCTACCTCTACCCTAGGAAAAAGTCTCTGGCTGTCCACTCTATCTATACCTCTGATAATTTTGTACACCTGTATGAAGTCACCTATCATCCTTCGTCGCTCTAAAGAGAGAAGCTCTAGCTCTCTCTACCTTTCCTCGTGAGACCTTCCCTCCATTCCAGGCAACATCCTGGTAAATCTCCTCTGTACCTTTTCCAACGCTTCCACATCTTTACTGTAATGAGGCGACCAGAACTGGACACAATACTCCAAGTGTGGCCGAACCAGGCTTTTGTATAGCTGGAGCATAACTTCACGGCTCTTGAACTCAATCCCTCTATTAATGAAAGCTAACACACCATACGCCTTCTTAACAACTCTATCCACCTGGGTGGCAGCTTTCAGGGAACTGTGGACATGAACCCCGAGATCCCTCTGCTCCTCTACACTGCCAGGAATTTTTCTGTTAACCCTGTATTCTGCTTTCAAGTTTGTCCTTCCAAAATGAATCACCTCACACTTTTCAGCGTTAAACTCTGTAATTGTCCAGACAATCCCAATGTTGTAGCTGTTCTGGAACAGATGGACCAGGGCCAAGGCTGGTTATGGAACACAAGTCATATGTACAATTCCTGGAATCTTGTCAGAGCCCATAGCCTTTGCAGTGTCCAGTGCCTTCAGCCAATTTTTGATATCCTGTGTACTGAATTCAATTGGTTGAAGACTGGCATCTGTGATGCTGAGGACATGGTGATGGAGGGTTGCTTTTCAGACTTAGAGTCCTGTGACCAGTGGTGTGCCAAAGGATTAGTGCTGGGTCCATTGCTTTTTGTCAGTTGTATAAATAAATTGGATGTGAATATATGAGGTATGGTTAGTGAGTTTGCAGATGACACTAAAATTGGAGGTGTAGTGGACAGCGAAGAAAGTTACCTCAGGGTACAGTGAGATCTTGATCAGATGGGCCGATGGGCTGAGGAGTGGCAGATGAAATTTAATTTTGATACATGTGAGGTACTACATTTTGGAAAGGCGAATCAAGGCAGGACTTATACACTTAATGGTAAGGTCCTGGGGAGTGTTGCTGAGCAAATAGACCTTGGAGTGCAGGTTCATAGTTTATTGAAAATGGTAGGTAGGATAGTGAAGAAAGCATTTGGTATGCTTGCCTTTGTTGGTCAGCACATTGAGTATAGGAGTTGAGAGGCTCCCAATACTTTTGGAGTATTGCGTGCAATTCTGGTCGGCCTCCTATAGGAAGGATGTAGTGCAATTAGAAAGGGTTTAGAAAAGAATTATGAAGATGTTGCCTGGGTTGGAGGGTTTGAGCTATAGGGATAGGCTGAATAGGCTGGGGCTATTTTCCCTGGAGTGTCAGAGGCTGAGGGGTGACCTTATAGAGGTTTATAAAATCATGAGGGGCATGGATAGGGTAAATAGACAAGGTCTTTTCCCTGGGTTGGCGGGGGTCCAAAACTAGACGGCACAGGTTTAAGGTGAGAGGGGAAACATATAAAAGGGACCTAAGGAGAAACCTTTTCACGCAGAGGATGGTGCGTGTATGGAATGAGTTGCCAGAGGAAGTGGTGGAGGCTGGTACAATTACAACATTTAAAAGGCATCTGGATGGGGATATGAATAGGAAGGGCTCAGAGGGATATGGGCCAAATGCTGGCAAATGGGACTAGAATTATTTAGGATATCTGGTCAGCATGGACGGGTTGGACTGAAGGGTCTGTTCCCGTGCTGTATGTCTCTATGACTCCGACCTCAGGAGGAGGCTGAGATAAATCATCCATTCATCACTTCTAGCTGAAGGTGGATGCAATCGCTTGTCTTTTGCACTAATGGTCTGAGCTCTTCCATCATTGACAGCAGGGATATCTCATTGTATTATGGAGTGGCTTTATGGGCAGTGTAGCCTACTCTTACTCCCATGGTCTTTTGGAACCTGGCCTCATAACTTTTACTCTTGGTACCATTTGGAATCTCTGCATTTCTACAGTCAAAAGTCAATGTATCCTCCCTGGGATGTGACCAGTTTTGGCTAATGAGAATTTTTATAACTTGTACCTTCTGCATACCAGCCCCCGTAAGTCAAGGTCACTATCCTACAATTATTTTTTGTACCTGTTCATTAGCTTTTGACACCGGACTAATGTCAGACATGAAGGATTGAAACTTGAGGAAATGACAGTGAGCAGAAGCTGTGGAATCATATCTGTGCACCTTCCAGATCGATGGGGGGAGAAAATAGAGAGAGTAAAAGTTTTGATCTGAAGCAGTGTCTTTGTGAAATGTGTTTGGCCAAATCGTGCCAGTGCACATAATCACTTGTTGATGGTGTTAGGACGGCGGTGCTGTGTATCTCTTCGCCATCCCTTGTTGAAACTGCAGCCAAAACACTCATTCCTTGTCCCTTAAAATTGTATCCAGCTGGTGGAAAATGAAGTGCATAGAGCTGTAGATCCCACTTAAGGTAAGAGCCTTCTTCAAAAGCCATTAATGGAGCTCCTTTTATGACTGATTGCTACTTTAGAACCTGTGCCTTTGAAATCACTCATCACCACAGAATATTTTGAAGCTGTTGATTGTAGTGTCCATATTGTGCAATAGTCTTTTCCAGGCTGCTGCAATCTCTCCCAACCTTTGTTCCCCTTGATGAAGCTGATTAAAAGCAACTCGGACAATATGATGAGTCTGTTGGGCCATTCAATATTCATTTTATTTAGTTTCTCTGCCCTTATAATTTTGAACCCTTCCTTAAAGGGTTGTTCCTTGTTCTGGTGAGGTTCCCAGCCATTTGACTTGTACAGTAATGGTCACCATTGTTGACATGTTTTATTCACTCATGCTGCGGACGTCACTGGCTCATTCCTCGTCCCTTGATACCATTGAGAAGGTGGTGGAGAGCTGCCTTTTTTAATCACTGAATTCCATTTGGTGTACACGCACCTACAATGTCATTAGGGCCAGAGTTCAAAGATTTTAACCCAGCGACAGTGAATTAGCAGTGTAGAACTTGCACACAGTCATAGAGATGTATAGCATGAAAACAAACCCTTCAGACTAACTCGTCCATGCCGACTAGATATCCTAAATAAACCTAGTCCCATTTGTCAGCATGTGGCCCATATCCCTCTAAACCCTTCCTATTCATATCCCCATCCAGATGCCTTTTAAATGTTGTAATTGTACCAGCTTCCACCACTTCCTCTGGCAACTCATTCCATAGACGCACCACCCTCAGTGTGAAAAAGCTGCCCCTTAGGTCCCTTTTAAATCTTTCCCCTCTCAGCCTAACCTATGCCCTCTAGTTTTGGACTCTCCTACCCTGGGAAAATGACCTTGTCTATTTACCTTATCCATGCCCCTCATGGTTTTATAAACCTCTGATGCTCCAGGGAAAATGGCTCCAGCCTTTTTAGCCTCTCCCTTTGGTCCAACCCTTGGTGGTGGTGTTTGCAGGTAGTGGTGTTCCCAGGTATCTGCTGGCCTTGTCCTTCTAGATGACGATGATTGTGGGTTTGGAATTTGCTATCTACGGAGCCTTGGTGATTTTCTGCAGTGCATCTTGCAAATGGTACACACTGAGCATTCGTGGTGGAGGGGGGCAGATGTTTGTGGATGTGGTGCCAATCAAGCCCGTTGGTATTTAACCACAAATATTGTTGTAAAAACCCACTTGGCTCACTAATGTCCTTTAGGGAAGGAAATCTGCCGTCTTTACCTGGTCTGGCCTACATAAAACCTACACCAATGTGATTGACACTTTAAAAACCCTCTGAATTGGCCAAGCAAACCACTCATTTGTTCTGTAGGTTCAAGGTGGCAAAATTAGGGATGGGTAATACTCACCAGTGACATGCCTGCATCCTGTGAATGAATAAAAAGAAGTGGAGTTCGAGTGCAGATCAGCCGTGAGTGGTTCCAAATGGAGACTGAACGGCCTTCTCTTGTTTCTACTGTCTCAATGTTCCTAGACCAGGGTTCTCAAAGATCTCACTACTCTGAATGATCAAGAACGTACCCCGTTAGGTGATGTTTTTCCATATTAAGCTGATCTGGTTGAATGATCAGTTCATTGCTTTCTTGTTGCAGTTGTTGAAGAGTGCAAGCGACGACTTTGTTCAGCTGGCTTCCAGGAACTAAAGGAGGTTGACCACTGGGACCTGAAACCTTCCAACAAGGTGAGTGGACAGGTGGGAGCATGCAGCCTAGGCAACTACCTTCCTCAGGAATTTCCACTAAAAACAATGACAGACATAATCCTGAGAAGGGTCTAGGCCCGAAACATCAGCTTTCCTGCTCCTCTGATGCTGCTTGGCCTGCTGTGTTCATCCAGCTCTACACCGTGTTATCACAGACGTGATCCTACTGCCTGATGAACAGTGTGCTTTCAGAATTATAGTACTTGTATAGAAATAAACGAGAATTACAACACAGGAACAGACCCTTCAGTCCAAACAGTGCGTGCTAGTCTTTAGTCTTCTCCCCCAACCCCACCCCAGCCTGAACCTAAGTGTTGATTCAAAAGTGATTTTTATTTTGCTCCCTGGACGTTTTGACTCTGTGGCTGGTGTACAGCTTTACAAGCTGAAGGCAACCTTCAGGCAGCCTGTTTTTCAACAGACAGCCCAGCTGTTTGACTGAAATTTATTGGCATTGATCACTTGGTCCCAAACAGCACTCATCATTTAATCTTGCAAATTCTCTTTTGGCTTTCAGAAAATCCAGCACTTTCTATGAATTATGGGAAATACCTTTAATCGTTACTGGAGTCTCTTCTTAGCATCTGCTCTATGAATTAATTGCATCCAACAATAAAATCATAAAATGGTAAAGCAAAGGAGAAGGCCAATCAGTCCATCATGTCTGTGCAAGCATTATACTGAAGTAATCCAATCAGTTTGACTTTCCTGCACTTTTGCCATTCGTTGATATTTCCTTTCCCTCCAAACATTTATCCAGTTCTCTTTCAAATGTAACTGTTGAATATGCTTCCGTTACCCTTTCAGACAGTGCATTCCAGATCACAGCTCGCAGTGCCTAAAACAAAACGCAGCTGTAGTCCAGTCAGTTTAACCTCGGTAGTGGGGAAGTTTCTGGACATGACAATTCAGGACAAAAGGAATAGTCACGTGGGTGAATGACAGTTCATTCAGGAAAATCAGGCATGGATTAATGAGGGCAAATTGTGTTTAAGGACATAAGAACTAGGAGCTGGAGTAGGCAGTTCACCTTCTAGCCATTTGATATGATCATGGCTGACCTCAGTTCAGCCTCAGCTCCACTTTTTTGCCCACTGTCTGTAACCCGTTAACCCATCGCTAATTAAAAATGGGCCTATCTCCTCAAATTTATTCACTGACCCAACATCCATTGCACTCTGGGGTGACAAATTCCACAGATTCACAACCCTTTGAGATACATAATGCCCCCTCATCTGTTTTAAACCTATCCCCACAACTTGCTTGAGTTATGCATTTCCATAATGTCCTAAGTGCAGTGTTGCACAAGACTTGAGGAAAATTAAAGCTCATGTCATTCAAGAGACAGGACCAACATTGAGACCAAATTAACTGTGTGGTTAATGGTTGTTTTTTGGACTGGAGGAAGGTTTGAAGTGCAGTTCCCCAGGGGTCATTGCTGGGACCTCATGAATATGAATATGAATAATCTGGATCTTGATGTAGGAGGCACATTTTCAAAGTTTGCAGTCAATACAAAACTTGGAAATACTGTAACTGAGGAAGATTGTGAGGACAATAATGTAGAACTTCAAAAAGACATTGGTTAGTTGACTGGGTGGTTAGGTGGTAGATAAAATTTAACGCAGTGTATGGTGAAGTGTGTCATTTGGGTAGAAAAGGCAATAGGGTATAGGAGCAGAACAACTTGGGTATATATGTGCATAAATTATTGCAGATGGCAGGACAGGTTGAGACAGTGGTTCATAAAGCATGCACTATGCTAGGTTTTATAAAAGGGCATAGAGGGCAAGAACAAGGAGGTTATGTTGAACTTGTATGAAATGCTGGTGTGGCCTCAAGACAACTGTTGTATTGGTTCTGGAAGCCACACTTTAGGAAGGACATGAAAGCAATAAGACGATATAAAAAGATGAATATGACTGCTGGGATGAGAAACATCAGTTGCATGGATAGATTGGAGAATTGGAACCATTCTTTTTGGAGTAGGCTGAGAGGAGATTTGATCGAGGTGTTCCAAATCACACAGTGAGTAGTTAGAGTCTGGAATGCAATGCCTGAGAGTGCAGTGGAGACAGATTCATTTGTGGTGTTCAAGAGAGAATTAGATTATTAACTGAAATGGAAGAATATTTGGGATAAGGGGAAGAAAATGGTCGAGTGTCACTAGGTGAGTTGCTTATTCAGAAGGCCAGTGCAGACGCTATAGGAATTCATAGGAACAGAAGGCCATTCAGCCCCTCAAGTTGCTGTGCCATTCGCTAAGATCATGGCTGATCTGTGGACCAACTTCACATGCCTGCCTTGAGCCTATATCCCTTGATAACCTTTGCTTAATAAAAAATTATCCCTCTTGGATTTAAGTTTAATAATTGAATTAGCATTGACCGTCATTTGAGGAAGAGAGTTCCAAACCTCCACTGCCCTTTGCGTGAAGAATTGCTTTCTAACATGTCCCCTGAATGGCCTGGCCCTGATTCTTAGATTATGACCCCTGGTTCTAGAATCTTCAACCAGTGGAAATAGGTTATCTTTACCTACCCTGTCTTTCCCTGTTAATATCCTGATGACCTTAATTAGATCACCCTTTAACCTTATAAATCCTACAGAATAAAGGGCTAATTTGTCCTCATGATTTAACCCCGGATGTCCAGTTATCATTCTTGTGAACCTGTTTTAAACTCCCTCCGAGGCCTAGGTATCCTTCCTGAAGTGTGGTACTCAGATCTGTTCACTTGTACTCTTAAGTGGGACCTAACAAGGGTTTTGTATAACTACACCATAACATCTGCATCCTTATACTCCAGCCCTTTAGATATAAACACCAGCATTCCATTGGCCTTCTGGACTATTTTCTGCACCTGTTTGTGGCATTTTAAATAGCTATACAGAAAATCCCCAAATCTTATGCCACATTAATTGGCTAATTCTGTGCTTTGCCATTCTATGATTTGATGTAGTTTTGGTTATTTTGCCAATCATCTTAAAACCGTATCCTTTGATTACTGACCCTCCCACCTCTGGAAACCTTTTTCCTTTATTTATTTTGTCAAACCATTTGTGATTTTTTAACTCTTTTATTAAATATTTTGAAAATCTCCCCCTGCTTTAAGGAAAATAATCTTAGCTTCTCCTGTCTCTCTCTCTCTCTCTTTAACTGTAGTTCATCATCCTTGGTGTCAATTTCCCCTGCAAGGTTGTTTTAAAGTGTAGTCCAGTATTGGGCAAAAAATTCCAGTTGAGGCTAAGCAATGTTTTCTAAAGGTTTAACAAAAGAGCCTTGCATATGTACCCTATGCCTTTATAAAGGACCTTGTGTGTTTTTGTTAAAAACCACCTTTCAACAGTCTTGCCTTCTTCAAAGGCTTTTGTATATACACCCACAGGTAGGTATTCCTCTTCCCTTCTTCCTATTAAAATTGCACCAATTGGTTGACATTGCCACTGCCCATTCTTCTTGTCAAGACGTAAATTCTCACTTCTTTGATCTGTCACACTTCTGCCCATGTTTCCAGTCTGTCTGTGTGAAATCCATCTTTGTCATTGTGCACTACATCTCCACTTTCATATCATCTGCAAACTTTCAAATGATGACTGTATACCTAACTCCAAGGTACTTCGAAAAGTGTAGCAGCCCAAAAACTTGAGTTGGACGTCTCCACTGTATACTACCCTCCATCCAAAACAATCGTTCACCACAATTCCCTGTTTTCTGGCCTTTTGCCACTTTTTCATTCATGCTGCTATTTTCGCTTTCATCCTGTGGGCTTTGACTCCGTTCTCTATTATCAAATGCCTTATGAATGTTCAGATATACGACATTAACCACAGTACCGTCATCCATTCCATAGAGGGGAAGTATGAGGCTTTTTCCCAGGGTGGAGGGGTCAATTACTAGGAGATACCGGTTCAGTGTGGAGGGGAGAGGGGGATGTTTAAAAGACATGTGCAAGGCAAGTTTTTAACACAAAGGGTGGTGAGTGTCTGGAACGTGCTGCCAGAGAAGGTGGTGGAAGCAGACACAATAGCTGCATTCAAGAAGCCGCAGGACGAATACATGAAGAAGAAGGGAATTGAGGGATACGGACCCTGTAAAGTGACACAGTTTTAGTATGAAAGAGCAAAATGTGTCGGCGCAGGCTTGGAGGGCCGAAGGGCTTGTTCCTGTGCTGTATTGTTCTTTGTTCTTACCCCTCAGTTACTTCATCCAAGAATTCTGAGTCCCTTAAATTTTGCTGGTAACTCAAAATAAAATTGTTAAGCGCACTCCACAGATTACTGACTGAACTCTGTGTAATTCCTCTTTGCTTTATTCAGTATTACATGACAAGGAACTACTCTACAATAATTGCCTTTGCAGTGGGAGCCAAGTACACACCAGGGAATGGATTTAGCATGATTGGAGCTCACACAGACAGCCCCTGCCTACGGGTAAGTATGGAATATCACCCGACATGGTTCTGGTACTGTAGGTAGGGCAGGCGAGAAAATCCAAGGGATGGGAATCCTGCTGGGTACAGCACATGTAATATGAAGCGAATGTAATTCACCGTGCTCTGTGAGCGCTGTTGATCTTGGAGGGGAAGTGAATGGTTTTAATGGGCAGTGTAAGAAAACAACATCATTTACTAGGTACTTTCCCATAATACGTCTGGCAGATAATTGAGGGAGTGAATAAAACTGGAGAATGGATACAAGGTTGTGCTGTCAGGGGAGAGCTGTCATTCCTCCAAGATAGGCGCACGCTCTCCAAACAAACCAACTTCATACCATTATGGACAGAAAGGGATTGGCTAAAATCTTGAATGGTAGAGAAATCGCTGGAAAGAAAGACCTGTTGCTGACAATTCTTGTCTTGTGCTTACCAGGGCAAAGTCAAAAATGCCAAATTTCACATAATCCCAATTCAAATAATCCCAACGTTTTATGCTACATTGGGATTATTTGGAGATGATAGTATTATTTAGTTGGCAAATTGACTCTGACTGAAGTGTTGTGATGGAGTAAACAATGAAGAGCTACAGGTTCACCACGCTCCCAGGTAATTCACAAAAGGCTTGAACATGACCCTTTTGTTTGTAGAGAATGGGTCCCTGTGTCTGAACGTATGTGACTTCTAGTAAGTGCAAGTGAACCACATTACAAGCTGAGCTTTCACACCTGATGCGAAATTTAGTATTCTTGCATTCGTCCTGATGAATGAGAGACAAAAACCTTGGGCTTACATATCTTTCTTCTCAACAGTGTTCAAGTTCTATACTGTCAAACAATTATTTAGAAGAAAATAAATGTCAGGCCTATGGGAAGGAGAATTTGTTTCAGAGAAGAGGACTGTAGGAAGCAGTGCTTATTTTTGGTACCGACCTGTTTGGAAAACTACCTTTCAATTTCCATTTCTGTTTCTGTCTGCCCCTGTCCCACCCAAGGCCACTCGATTTCCTCTTTCTAAATTGTCCCTTATCTTATTTTATGTATATCTGCTTACCAAGGTGAGGGATGTCAGTGATGAGAGTGAAATACTTTTCCTCACTTGTTGTAACCAAAGCTTGTGTTGACTGCTCCTAGGGCAGGTGTGATGAGGGTTAAGATACAGTGTAATGTTTTGTAACTGCTGCCTGACCGAACTAACCCTAGCATTAGAGAACTGTGCCCAATAATACCACTGAAACACCAGAGCTGATACTGTTGAAGAAAGAACTTAGATTATGACAATGATAACTTGCATCGGTTCATTCTTATCTATCTAATAATAGCCAGAGAATCTCTTGCAGTGCCCTCTTTAACTGCTCTTGCACATTGCTTCAGGTGTTCTCCTCTTTATGGGTGGCCGTTTGCAACATTGGTCGAAGGCACAGTGTCTGTTTTCTGCATGTAGACTGACAACTTGCAGCTTTTTTAAAAACTCTCCTGGGAAGTGGGTGTTGCTGGCTTGGCTAGCATTTATTGCCCATTCCTACGTAGCTGTCCTTGAGAAGGTGTTGGTGAGCTGCCTTCTTGAACCGCTGCAGTCCCTGTGCTGTAGGTAGACCCACAGTGCCATTAGGGAGGGAATTCCAGGATTTTGACCCAGTGACAGTGAAGGAACAAGGATATATTTCCATGTCAGGATGATGCAGGGCTTGGAAGGGAACTTGAAGGGGATGGTGTTCCCACGTATCTGCTGCCCTTGTCCTTCTAGATGGAGAGGTCTTCAGTTTGTACAGTACTGTCTGAGTATCTTTGGTGCATCTCTGCAGTGCATCTCGTAGATAGTATACACTGCTGCTACTGAGTGTCACTGGTGGAGGAAATGGATACTTGTGGACATGGTGCGACTCAAAATGGGCTGCTTTTCCATAACAGTATCAAGCTTCTTTAGTGTTGTTGGAGCTGCACCCATCCAGGCAAGTGGGGAATATTCCATCACACCCCTGAGCTGTGCTTTGTAGATGGTGGACAGGCTTTGGGGAGTCGAGGTGAGTTACTTATCACAGTGTTTCTAGCCTCTGAGCTGCTCTTGTAGCCACTGTATTTACCTGGTGAATCCAGTTGAGTTTCTAGTCAATGGTAATCCCCAGGGCTAGCAGCAATGGTAACACCATTGAATGTCAAGGAGTGATAGTTAATGTTCTTTCTTATTGGTGAAGGTCATTGACTGGCTTTTGTGAGGCGTGAATGTTTTGCCAAGTATCAGCCCAAGCCTGGATATTGTCCAGATCTTGTTGCATTTGAACAGGCGCTGCTTCAGTATCTGAGGAATCGCTGATGGTGCTGAACATTGTGCAATCATCGGCGAACATCCTCACTTCTCTCCTCATGATGAAGGGAGGGTCATTGATGAAGCGTTTGAGGATGGTTGGGCCTAGGACATTACCCTGAGGAACTCCTGCAGAGATGTCCTGGATTTGAGATGACTGACCTCCAACAGCCACAACCATCTTCCAATGTATCAGGTGTGACTCCAACCTGATTCCTTTTGATTCCAGTTTTGCGAGGGCTCCTTGATGCCAGACTCAGTTTACTGCAGTCTTGATGTCAAGGGCTGTCTCGCTCACCTCACCTCTGGAATTCAGTTCTTTTCTCAATGTTTGAACCAAGGCTGTAATGAGATCAGGAGCTGAGTGGCCCTGGCGGAACACAAACTGGGTGTCACTGAGCAGGTTAATGCTGAGGAGGTGCTGTTTGATAGCGCTGTTGATGACACCTTCCATCACTTCATTGATGATCGAGAGTAGACTGATGGTGCGGTAATTGGCTGGGTTGGATTTGTCCTGCTTTTTATGTACAGGACAAACACGGTCAATTTTCCACATGGTTAGATAGATGCCAGTGTTTTAACTGTATTGGAGCAGCTTGGCTAGAGGAGCAGCAAGTTCTGGAGCACAAGTCTTTAGTACTATTACTGGAATTTTGTCACAGCTCACAGCTTTTGCAGTATCCAGTGCCTCTAATCATTTCTTGCCATCACATGGAGTGAATCAAATTGGCTGAAGACTAGCAGTGCTGGGGACCACTGGAGGAGACCGAGGTGGATCATCCACTCAACACTTCCGGCTGAAGACAGCTGTCCTTCACCATCGCCCATCTCGACTCCTCCACTGACAACAAGGTGCAGAGCTGGATGAACACAGCAGGCCAAGCAGCACCATAGGAGCAGAAAGGCTGACGTTTCGGGCCT